TTAAATTCATAGATTGCACGAGTAGCACTATGAAACTATTTTTTTTTTAAATCGAGAGGTGAAACTAAAAGTTAAGGGCTACGAAAGACCTACATGAAAAAAATACGAGTACGTTATGGATATGCCTAAAGGTGGATGCACCAGTTGTCTAATGGTAGAATGGTACCGTGCCACGATACAGACTCGAATTCGATTCTCGGTTGTTGCATCTTGAAGATTAGCTATGATGATATTAGTGCATAATGTTCAAACTTGGGTTTGATACAATATATCATTTAACTTTATAGATTTCACGAGTAACACTATCAAACCTTTTGTTTTTAAATCGAGAGGTGAAACTAAAAGTTGAGGTCTTCAGAAGAACTGCAGGACCAATATACGAGTACGTTTTTTATTTGCTCAAAGGTACATGCACGAGTGGTCTAGTGGTAGAATAGTACCATGCCACAATACAGACCCAGTTCGATTCTCGGCTGGTGCATCTTGAAGATTACCTATGATGATATTAGTGCATATTTTTCAAACTTTGGTTTTTCACTTTATCATTTAAAATTATAGATTTCACGAGTAGCACTATCGAGCATTTTCTTTTTAAATCGAGAGGTGAAACTAAAAGTTAAGGGCTTCGGAAGAACTGCATGACAAAAATACGAGTATATTATGGATGTTCCTAAAGGTAGAAGCACCAATAGTCTAGTGGTAGAATAGTACCCTGCCGCCACAATATAGAACAGACTGTTAGCATCTTGAAGATTAGCTAAGATGATAATAGTGCATAATTTTCATACTTTGGTTTTTTACAATATATCATTTAAATTCATAGATTTCACGAGTAGCACTATGGAACTATTTTTTTTAAAATCAAGAGGTGAAACTAAAAGTTAAGGGCTTCGGAAAACCTACATTAACAAAAGACGAGTACGTTATGGATATGCCTAAAGGTGGATGCACCAGTGGTTTAAGTGTAGAATAGTACCCTGCCACGATGCAGACTCGAATTCGATTCTCGAATGTTGCATATTGAAGATTAGCTATGATGATATTAGTGCATGATGTTCAAACTTGGGTTTGTTACAATATATCATTTTACTTTATAGATTTCACGAGTAACACTATCGAGCTTTTTGTTTTTAAATAAAGAGGTGAAACTAAAAGTTGAGGTCTTCAGAAGAACTGCAGGACCAAAATACGAGTACGTTTTTTATTTGCCCAAAGGTACATGCACTAGTGGTCAAGTTGTAGAATAGTACCATACCACGATACAAACCCAGTTCGATTCTCGACTAGTGCATCTTGAAGATTACCTATGATGATATTAGTGCAAAATGTTCAAACTTCGATTTGTTACAATCTATCATTTAAATTTATAGATTTCGAGAGTACAACTATGGAGCCTTATTTTTTAAATCGAGAGGTGAAACTAAAAGTTGAGGGCTTTAGAAGAACTGCAATACCAAAATACGAGTATACTATGGACAGGCAAAAAGGTGGATGCACCAGTGGTCTAGTGGTAGAATAGTACCTTGCCATGGTATAGACTCAAGTTCAATTCTCGGTTGGTGCATCTTTGATGATATTATTGCATACTTTTCAAACTTAGGTTTGTCACTATATCATTGAAATTTATAAATTTCCCGAGTAGCACTATCGAGCTTTTTGTTTTTAAATCGAGAGATGAAAATAAAAGTTGATGGCTTCAGAAGAACTGTAGGATCAAAATACGAGTACGTTTTTATTGGCCCAAAGGTACATGCACTAGTGGTCTAATGGTAGAATAGTACCATACCACGATACAGACCCAGTTCCATTCTCGACTGGAGCATCTTGAAGATTACCTATGATGATATTAGTGCAAAATGTTCAAACTTCGATTTGTTACAATCTATCATTTAAATTTATAGATTTCACGAGTAGCACTATGGAGCCTTCTTTTTTAAATCGAGAGGTGAAACTAAATGTTGAGGGATTAAGAAGACCTGCAATACCAAAATACGAGTACATTATGGACAAGCCTAAAGGTGGATGCACTAGTGGTCTAGTGGTAGAATAGTACTCTACCACGGTACATACCCGAGTTTGATTCTCGGTTGGTGCATCTTCAAGATATGCTATGATGATATATTATTGCATACTTTTCAAACTTGGGTTTGTCACTATATCATTTAAATTTATAAATTTCCCGAGTAGCACTATCGAGAATTTTGTTTTTAAATCGAGAGGTGAAACTAAAAGTTGAGGGCTTCAAAAGAACTGCAAGACCAAAATACGAGTACGTTTTTTATTGGCCCAAAGATACATGCACGAGTGGTCTAGTGGTAGAATAGTACCATACCACGATACAGACCCAATTCGATTCTCGACTAGTGCATCTTGAAGATTACCTATGATGATATTAGTGCAAAATGTTCAAACTTCGGTTTGTTACAATCTATCATTTAAATTTATAGATTTCACGAGTACCAGAATGGAGCCTTCATTTTTAAATCGATAGGTGAAACTAAAAGTTGAGGGCTTCAGAAGAACTGTAAGACCAAAATACGAGTACGTTTTTTATTGGCCCAAAAGTAAATGCACTAGTGGTCTAGTGGTAGAATAGTACCATACAACGATTCAGACCTAGTTCGATTCTCGACTTGTGCATCTTGAAGATTACCTATGATGATATTAGTGCAAAATGTTCAAACTTCGATTCGTTACAATCTATCTTTTAAATTTATAGATTTCACGAGTAGCACTATGGAGCCTTCTTTTTTAAATCAAGAGGTGAAACTAAAAGTTTTGAGCTTCAGAAGAACTGCAGGACCCAAATACGTGTACGTTTTCTATTGGCCCAAAGGTACATGCACTAGTGGTCTAGTGGAAGAATAGTACGATACCACGAAACAGACCCAGTTCGATTCTCGACTTGTGCATCTTTAAGATTACCTATGATGATATTAGTCCAAAATGTTCAAACTTCAGTTTGTTACAATCTATCATTTAAATTTATAGATTTCACGCGTAGCACTATGGAGCCTTTTTTTTAAATCGAGAGGTGAAACTAAAAGTTGAGGGCTTCAGAAGACCTGCAGTTCCAAAATACAAGTATGTTTTGTATTGGCCCAAAGGTACATGCACTAGTTGTCTAGTGGTAGAATAGTACCATACCACGATACAGTCCAAGTTCGATTCTCGACTGGTGCATCTTGAAGAATACCTATGATGATATTAGCGCAAAATGTTCAAACTTCGGTTTGTTACAATCTATCATTTACATTTATAGATTTCACGAGTAGACCTATGGAGCTTTCATTTTTCAATGGAGAGGTGAAACTAAAAGTTGAGGGCTTCAGAAGAACTGCAGTACCAAATTACGAGTAAATTATGGACAGACCTAATGTTGGATGCACCAGTGAACTAGTGGTAGAATAGTACCCTGCCACGGTACAGACCCGAGTTCGTTTCTCGGCTGGTGCATCTTGAAGAGATGCTATGATGATATTATTGCATACTTTTCGAATTTCTTGGGTTTGTCACTATATCATTTAAATTTATAAATTTCCCGAGTAGCACTATCGAGCTTTTTTTTTTTATATCGAGAGTTGAAACTAAAAGTTGAGGGCTTCAGAAGAGCTGTAGGACCAAAATACGAGTACGTTTTTTATTGGCCCAAAGGTACATGCGCTAGTGGTCAAGTGGTAGAATAGTATCATACCACGATACAGTCCCAGTTCGATTCTCGACTAGTGCATCTTGAAGATTACCTATGATGATATTAGTGCAAAATGTTCAAACTTCGGTTTGTTACAATCTATCATTTACATTTATAGATTTCACGCGTAGCACTATGGAGCCTTCTTTTTGAAATCGAGAGGTGAAACTAAAACTTGAGGGCTTCAGAAGAACTACAGTTCCAAAATACGAGTATGTTTTTTATTGGCCCAAAGGTACATGCACTAGTGGTCTAGTGGTAGAATAGTACCATACCACGATACAGTCCAAGTTCGATTCTCGACTGGTGCATCTTGTAGAATACCTATGATGATATTAGTGCAAAATGTTCAAACTTCGGTTTGTTACAATTTATCATTTACATTTATAGATTTCACGAGTAGACCTATGGAGCTTTCATTTTTCAATCGAGAGGTGAAACTAAAAGTTGAGGGCTTCAGAAGAACTGTAGTACCAAATTACGAGTAAATTATGGACAGACTTAAAGTTGGATGCACCAGTGGTTTAGTGGTAGAATAGTACTTTGCCACGGTACAGACCCGAGTTCGAGATGCTATGATGATATTATTGCATACTTTTTGAATTTCTTGGGTTTGTCACTATATCATTTAAATTTATAAATTTCCCGAGTAGCACTATCGAGCTTTTTTTTTTTCTTATATCGAGAGTTGAAACTAAAAGTTGAGAGCTTCAGAATAGCTGCAGGACAAAAATACGAGTACATTTTTTATTGGCCCAAAGTACATGCGCTAGTGGTCTAGTGGTAGAATAGTACCATACCACGATACAGTCCCAGTTCGATTCTCGACTGGTGCATCTTGAAGATTACCTATGATGATATTAGTGCAAAATGTTCAAACTTCGGTTTGTTACAATCTATCATTTAAATTTATAGATTTCACGCGTAGCACTATGGAGCCTTTTTTTTAAATCGAGAGGTGAAACTAAAAGTTGAGGGCTTCAGAAGAACTGCAGTTCCAAAATACGAGTATGTTTTGTATTGGCCCAAAGGTACATGCACTAGTTGTCTAGTGGTAGAATAGTACCATACCACGATACAGTCCAAGTTCGATTCTCGACTGGTGCATCTTGAAGAATACCTATGATGATATTAGCGCAAAATGTTCAAACTTCGGTTTGTTACAATCTATCATTTACATTTATAGATTTCACGAGTAGACCTATGGAGCTTTCATTTTTCAATCGAGAGGTGAAACTAAAAGTTGAAGGCTTCAGAAGAACTGCAGTACCAAATTACATGTAAATTATGGACAGATCTAATGTTGGATGCACCAGTGGTTTAGTGGTAGAATAGTACCCTGCCACAGTACAGTCCCGAGTTCGATTCTTGGCTGTTGCATCTTGAAGAGATGCTATGATGACATTATTGCATACTTTTCGAATTTCTTGGTTTTGTCACTATATTATTTAAATTTATAAATTTCCCGAGTAGCACTATCGAGCTTTTTTTTTTTATATCGAGAGTTGAAACTAAAAGTTGAGGGCTTCAAAAGAGTTGCAGGACAAAAATACGAGTACGTTTTTTATTGGCCCAAAGGTACATGCGCTAGTGGTCTAGTGGTAGAATAGTACCATACCACGATACAGTCCCAGTTCGATTCTCGACTGGTGCATCTTGAAGATTACCTATGATGATATTAGTGCAAAATGTTCAAACTTCAGTTTGTTACAATCTATCATTTAAATTTATAGATTTCACGCGTAGCACTATGTAGCTTTCTTTTTTTAATCGAGAGGTGAAATTAAAAGTTGAAAGCTTCAGAAGAACTGCGTACAAAATTACGTGTAAATTATGGACAGACATAATGTTGGATGCACTAGTGGTCTAGTGGTAGAATAGTACCATACCACGATATAGTTCTAGTTCGATTCTCGACTAGTGCATCTTGAAGATTACCTATGATGATATTAGTGCAAAATGTTCAAATTTCGGTTTGTTACAAACTATCATTGAAATTTATAGATTTCACACGTAGCACTATGGAGCCTTTTTTTTAAGTCGAGAGGTGAAACTAAAAGTTGAGGGCTTCAGAAGAACTGCAGTTCCAAAATACGAGTATGTTTTGTATTGCCCCAAAGGTACATGCACTAGTGGTCTAGTGGTAGAATAGTACCATACCACGATACAGTCCAAGTTCGATTCTCGACTGGTGCATCTTGAAGAATACCTATGATGATATTAGCGCAAAATGTTCAAACATCGGTTTGTTACAATCTATCATTTACATTTATAGATTTCACGAGTAGACCTATGGAGCTTTCATTTTTCAATCGAGAGGTGAAACTAAAAGTTGAGGGCTTCAGAAGAACTGCAGTACCAAATTACGAGTAAATTATGGACAGACCTAACGTTGGATGCACCAGTGGTCTAGTTGTAGAATAGTACCCTGCCATGATACAGTCCTAAGTTCGATTCTCGGCTGGTGCATCTTGAAGAGATGCTATGATGATATTATTGCATACTTTTCGAATTTCTTGGGTTTGTCACTATATTATTTAAATTTATAAATTTCCCGAGTAGCACTATCGAGCTTTTTTTTTTTATATCGAGAGTTGAAACTAAAAGTTGAGGGCTTCAAAAGAGTTGCAGGACAAAAATACGAGTACGTTTTTTATTGGCCCAAAGATACATGCGCTAGTGGTCTAGTGGTTGAATAGTACCATACCACGATACAGTCCCAGTTTGATTTTCAACTGGTGCATCTTGAAGATTACCTATGATGATATTAGTGCAAAATGTTCAAACTTCGGTTTGTTACAATCTATCATTTACATTTATAGATTTCACGAGTAGACCTATGGAGCTTTCATTTTTCAATGGAGAGGTGAAACTAAAAGTTGAGGGCTTCAGAAGAACTGCAGTACCAAATTACGAGTAAATTATGGACAGACCTAACGTTGGATGCACCAGTGAACTAGTGGTAGAATAGTACCCTGCCACGGTACAGTCCCGAGTTTGATTCTCGGCTGGTGCATCTTGAAGAGATGCTATGATGATATTATTGCATACTTTTCGAATTTCTTGGGTTTGTCACTATATTATTTAAATTGATAAATTTCCCGAGTAGCACTATCGAGCTTTTTTTTTTTTTATATCGAGAGTTGAAACTAAAAGTTGAGGGCTTCAAAAGAGTTGCAGGACCAAAATACGAGTACGTTTTTTATTGGCCCAAAGGTACATGCGCTAGTGGTCTAGTGGTAGAATAGTACCATACCACGATACAGTCCCAGTTCGATTCTCGACTGGTGCATCTTGAAGATTACCTATGATGATATTAGTGCAAAATGTTCAAACTTCGGTTTGTTACAATCTATCATTTAAATTTATAGATTTCACGCGTAGCACTATGGAGCCTTTTTTTTAAATCGAGAGGTGAAACTAAAAGTTGAGGGCTTCAGAAGAACTGCAGTTCCAAAATACAAGTATGATTTGTATTGGCCCAAAGGTACATGCACTAGTGGTCTAGTGGTAGAATAGTACCATACCACGATACAGTCCCAGTTTGATTCTTGACTGGTGCATCTTGAAGATTACTTATGATGATATTAGTGCAAAATGTACAAACTTCGGTTTGTTACAATCTATCATTTAAATTTATAGATTTCACGCGTAGCACTATGGAGACTTCTTTTTTTAATCGAGAGGTGAAACTAAAAGTTGAGGGCTTCAGAAGAACTACAGTTCCAAAATACGAGTATGTTTTGTATTGGCCCAAAGGTACATGCACTAGTGGTCTAGTGGTAGAATAGTACCATACCACGATACAGTCCCAGTTTGATTCTCGACTGGTGCATCTTGAAGATTACTTATGATGATATTAGTGCAAAATGTACAAACTTCGGTTTGTTACAATNAGTCCCAGTTCGATTCTCGACTGGTGCATCTTGAAGATTACCTATGATGATATTAGTGCAAAATGTTCAAACTTCGGTTTGTTACAATCTATCATTTAAATTTATAGATTTCACGCGTAGCACTATGGAGACTTCTTTTTTTAATCGAGAGGTGAAACTAAAAGTTGAGGGCTTCAGAAGAACTACAGTTCCAAAATACGAGTATGTTTTGTATTGGCCCAAAGGTACATGCACTAGTGGTCTAGTGGTAGAATAGTACCATACCACGATACAGTCCCAGTTCGATTCTCGACTGGTGCATCTTGAAGATTACCTATGATGATATTAGTGCAAAATGTTCAAACTTCGGTTTGTTACAATCTATCATTTACATTTATAGATTTCACGAGTAGCACTATGGAGCCTTCTTTTTGAAATCGAGAGGTGAAACTAAAACTTGAGGGCTTCAGAAGAACTACAGTTCCAAAATACGAGTATGTTTTGTATTGGCCCAAAGGTACATGCACTAGTGGTCTAGTGGTAGAATAGTACCATACCACGATACAGTCCAAGTTCGATTCTCGACTGGTGCATCTTGAAGAGTACCTATGATGATATTAGCGCAAAATGTTCAAACTTCGGTTTGTTACAATCTATCATTTACATTTATAGATTTCACGAGT